CTTTAGAACTTTAATACAGCTTAAATTCAATTAAAAAATTTGAGTTTAGAATTATCTTAACAAATATGTCGATATTATTTTAAAAGTGACATTACTATTAAAATAATCGTCAAATTGATAATTATATCCAATTATGTAATGCTTTATTTTTAGAATTAAGCAAATTAAGATATTTGCTTTTTTTTTCTCCTTTATAAACAGTGTGTACTCAATTGATTTGTTTAATTAATTTGTAACATGAATGTAAAAATGTAAATGTGATAAATGGAATATAAAATCACAAATCTTACAATAATTCTAATTTTATTATTTTATAATATTTATTATATAGGATAGTGACTGAAATTAATTAATGCATTGAATCCAATTAATGATAGAAATTTTAATACAATAAAAAAAAATGTCATTAATCAATGAAAATTGTGCTAAGAAAATATTCGTTTATTTTTTGACAATACACGCACGCACGCACGCACGCACGCACGCACGCACGCACGCACGCACGCACGCACGCACGCACATACATATATTCGAGATTATTATGATAATTTAATGTATTACCGGTATATAACAGCGTAACTAACGTAAAGCTTTGTTTTATCTTTATTGAAAGTGATACATTGACTATTTTAAAATAATAAGCTAATAAATATAGAATTTCACAATAATAGGCTCAATCTTTAAGACATTTCAAAACATAATTTAATATACACATAAGTTAATTAGATTATTTGAATGATATTAGTTTTTGCTTTCTTTCTTTTCGTTTAATAAGGCTTAGAAATATTAATCTTTCCTACATCATTTATTTTAACGTATATTATTTTTTAAATCACATGGAGGTGAATTTTTATATACTTAATAATAATCAGGGCATATTTTTTTTTTTTTTTTTTTTTTTTTTTTTTTTTTATTAAATGTTATCGTACGTAAATTTAATAAGTGTTTTTATTAAAATACTACAACTTATTATAAGCATCACGCGCTGCTTTTTACATAGCCAAGCTGCTAATTAAGCCAATTAGTTATTAACAAAAAAAAAAAAAAAAAAAAAAAAAAAAAGAAAAAGGGAAAAGGAAAAAAAAAACGACAAAATCATTAATACTTTGTATAATAACAACCTTGTTAAAACTTTGTTTATTAATAGATATTTATAATTTTGATATTACATCGATATTGTATATAAATTGTGCACTATAATAAAAATAATACGCGTATAGATTTTAGAAAATACAACGGCTGATGTTAAATTATTTCATAAGCATTTCCTTCCATTTTATTTACCGCGGCATTCCGATAAAGTGCGACTTTTACGAGCTCGCGGATGAAGAGAAAAGTAACGCTCAAGTGACACACGCTGCTCCCAAATAATGTGAATGCCAAATAATTTGAAAAGGTCATTGTACCGGATAGGAACTGATATTTGAAAAACATAGTCAGCGATATTATAGACTAAGGTGACAGTAACGACATTTCAAATTATTTGATTGTATGACGCTCGGCTCGATTTACCTAGCCAGCCGAAAGCAGAAGCTGTACGTGATCTTTACCTCAGCATCTATGTACGGGATATTCCGTCTCCGTCATTGACGGCTGAGAAGAAACAGCCGCAGATGCAGAGACGAGAATAGAGACGAGGCAATTTTTCAGTGAGTCGAGCATTGTGACGAGAGCTTTGATGGGGGGGGGGGAAGAGAGAGAGAGAGAGAGAGACGACGCCACGTTCTTCAAGGTCGAGATGCTTGTTGCTTTCGCGCGTCTTAAATAAGAAAAAGGAAATGGTCAATGGATGAGTGACAGAGATTGACGGCTGCCGGGCTTCGATAGACATTTATTTTTGTTATTTAAATGGATTAAAGAATTCGCGTTGGCGACATTACTGAATGTATACTGAAAGGGAATGAATTTTGTTTTCACGCGTACAGTGTGTGCAGTACAAAAGCAAAGAGTGTTTATTTTTTTTTTTTTTTTTTTTTTTTTTTTTTTTTTTTTTTTTTTGTCACTGTTAAGATAGTTTAAGGGTGGTATTAACGAGGATTTTATATTATACGCTTTTCTGTTAAAACTCATTTACGAGAATATCGTTTGCTGGTAATCAAGATACAGTGATTATTAAACATTGCTGTATTCCTTCGTCGATAAATTTTAAGCATAAAATTTTCAAGTATTAAAGGGACAGTTTTAATGTATTTTAATTGTGGATAAGATTAATTACATTGAGCACTTTAAGGGAATTAGTGTAATGTAAAATTAAAGAAATTTTGAAGACGAGGATTGAAAGAGGTATTTTTAATTAAGGCAATTAATAATATAATAATGAAAATAATGATATATAAATATTTCTAAAACAATATATCGTAGGTGAAAATTGCATAAATTTTTCAAAATACGAGTACTAGATCTATAAAAAATTTTTTATAAACATTAAGACTGAAACTTAAAAAAGTCGAATTACATTATAAAACTATATTGATATGATTGTGAAAACTGATTGATATAAGCTATATATATATATATATATATATATATATATATATACGTGTTCGTGCGCGTGTGTGTATTCTTCAATTTATTTAGGAATTGAATTTGAAAAAAATGTTAATACTTTACATAACTACACTTATTCTATTAATATGTTTTGATGTAACTCTAATTAGTTATTACAAGGTAGCAATTAAAATAAAATTTTCACTAGTTATGCATTATTTTCATGCAACCGCTTACTTCCTTTTAGCGATCTTAACTGTAATTAGAAAATATCTTATTAACTCTATTGTATTATCTGTCACATTTGCAATAATACTTGTATATATTGTTAATTTATCTAGTAAATTAATGGGAAGCGGAGGTATTTATATATATATATATATATATATATATATATATACTTACGTATTAATTTTACAAATTATTATAAATAATAAGATAAAATTGATATAATTCCCTACCACGACAAAGAAAATGCCATTTATTTCTTATTAATTACAAGTCCCATTACATATATTCTTTAATCTTAAATAATAAAACATGTATGCATAAATATCGTATGTATAGAACAAATGAAATTCTTTAAATTTCTTTTAATTGTTTGAAATTCTTAAATAAGTCTATTATATCAAAGTGTTGTCATTTAATTATTTTATCATCATTTTAAACGCATATAATAAATAATATTCATAAGTCTAATATTAATTTTAAAGGTTTGCATTAAATTGAAATTTCCACCTTTAAAAGTTTTATTGGAATATTTAATTAATTAATAGTAAAATGCACCGACTAATTTAATTTACTAATTTTATATTAATATTTTAGACTAAATTTGAAGGTAAAAAACTGAAATATGAGCATTATTTTTAATTAAGATTATCAAAGGTATAAATTATAAATTATTTGAATAAATTATTGAAAAATGTTTTTAGGAAAAATCAAACCTTCGCTGACTTTATCTTTAAAAACATTAACTTTTTAATTTGAAATATGTATAAAATATATTATAGGTGGTATAAAAAAAAAAAAAAAAAAAAAAAAAAAAAAAAAAATTTATGATATTACAGGAGCAAAATTTTGTCATATAAACAATACGAAACTATAATTTTATATTTAAAAATGTAAAACCAATTATTTTATTTATTGAGTATAATAATACGCTATACAATTATCTCTTATCGTAAATTCTAATTTATAATCATAATTATAAAATATTATCAAATTTTTTTAGTTCAACGGAATCATGAATAAAAATAATGTAAACAGTACTTTTCTGTAGTTTGAGATAACATTGTTTAAAATAGAAGATGTAATTAAACTAAAGAAATTAATTTGTAACATTGAACGTTGACTGTATGAGTTTATTTCCAAATGAATAAAAATAGCTTGTTATTTAAGATCATAACTCACTAATAAAATAAAACTGTGGACTTTACATTTAAAGATTCATTAATAAGGGGAGTTTATAAATAATAATAATAATATTTTTGTTTCGTAATTGAATATAAAGATAAAATTAAAGCTATTATTAGAATTAATTTCATAGATAAATAAATGTAAATAACAATTGAACGAAGTTTCTAATTTTCTCACTTCATTCTCAATTGAAATATTGAATAAAATATAATTATTGATAAGGCAATTAATCTCTGTGGTCTGATGATTAAGTAGTCATATGGCGAATAAAATAAATGAATTAGTTTTATTTATGGATTTTGAGCAAATATTATGCATAAGACAGGTATTCAAGTATCAATTTATAAAAGATTTATTTATAAAAGTTACAAATACTTATTAATACATATAGCGTGCATGTGTAATATGAATAAATAATATTTCACGTATTAAAATTTAATGTACGAAGTATAATATAAAAAGTATATTGATATATTTTTAAAGTAACCTTAACATTGTTTTAGAAATGTTATTTTTAGTTCTTTTACGAATTATATAAATTCGAATGAAGTAGGAAGAGAAAGTTTGTTATCCACGTTTACCCACATTATGTCGTTGTTTTAATATCCTTTTCATTACGTGAAGAAATGAAGTAAAAAGGATGTGTTTTCTTTTGAACTATTTCAAACATATGTATTGTTGGTGATTTTGGCAAATCGATTAGATAAAGTAATAATAACCCCGCTTTTCACAAATAATAAACAATGTTAGATGAATATCCTAAGAATCAATTAATTTCCCATTATTATCGCTTCAATCTCACAGTACAATTATCATTCATTTTTCCAATACCCGATACCCGAAAAGCACTATTATTCTTAACTTACGAATTACGTATACAGACGTTCACGTACGTAGTCGCGCATTTATAATATAACGTAGTATTCATTCATTAATAAATTATGAAATAAAAATATTCTCGCTGAATGCAAATGTAAGGTACATCCGTATTCACGGCAATATGATTTATAATTTTCATACTTGTTTCTTGCAGCACACCGAAGCAGTCACACTCACAATTAAACGTATGTGTTATGATTTATGATTTTAGGTTCGAGCGCCTTTCAGCGCATTGGGTTGGCCCCGATGCCGGCCCGGAAAGGCCTTCTTGCGCCTCAAAATACCTTCCTCGATACTATTGCGACACGCTTCGATGGAACCCGTAAGTCCATTTACAAATATTCGCTCGAGCTTAACGTGGCCGCGCAATCTGGGAAATACCGGGCATCGGGGAAGAAACAACGAACGGAAATTAGAAAAGATTACGCGGCGAGCTTATCTGCTTTATTTACACCCATCACCTTTCACCCGAGCGATATCAAACAATGCATTGGGAACGTTGGCAATACGCGCTATCCATGTTGTCGTAACCATGGCTTTCTATTATATTTGGATTAACGATGAGCTTAATTTACGAGGACAATTTACGGCTGAGGGATCTACATTCGCACTCATTAGATTCACATAGCGCGCACTTTGTCCGTTTCTATAATTGATCTTATTGACTTCGTTTCACCTGCTTCATTAGGCAACCTATGTTATATACAATTTTCAAACTCCTGTATTTTAATGCGCATGCGAGCTAACACTCGTCCAGGCAACTCGCATCATTATTGTACAAATATAATAGAATATTGGTTATTTAAGAAAAGATTTATTGCCTCGTATGGAAATATTTAAGAGAGAAAGTCATTTGTACGATAGGCAATAAAATATACCCGTAAAATTATTATTTTAACTATGTAGAGATTATTTAATTTTACTTTAAATATACTTAGATGAATTATACACTTTTTATAATTTTGTTTTGTTTTGTTATATTATTACAAGTTTAAGTTTATTTAAGAAAAAAAAAAAAAAAAAAAAAAAAAAAAAAAAAAAACATGTGTTTTACTATGAATATATGAAGTTATGATTCAATTATGAAAAAAATTTTTATTTCCATATAAACCTTATGTAGGTAAATCAAAATATTACTGTCTGTTACTTTAACCGAAAGTTTATTAGAATTTCATTATTCTTTTAAAAAAAAAACAATAAAAAAAAAAAAATATTAAATTGTATATACCAAGTTATATAATGAAAATTTTTTAATTTTCCATTCTCTAGTCCTTGGTTAAACAAAATTAAATAATTAAACACCATTGAAATACGATAATCCATAAATTATTTTATATTACACGTACATTCAGCAATACTCGCACACTATCGTGCAAATTATCAACACATTCCAATAAGCATTGTAAAGCAATGTATAAATAATTCGCCGCTTACGTATTAATGCATTTTTCCATTATGACTGCTCCAAGAAAATTGTAAATTCGTTCCTTTCAGAGTTTCTTTCGAAAAATTCTTTCCAAGTTTTCGAGGCTTCAAAATGTAGGATAGCAAAGTTGTTGCGAAATTTGATATGAAAAGTAAACCTCTCGACGTGACACCTTTACATGTTAATCGTCTATAAATTTCACAGTTAGCAGTCAACGTGCCACGAAAAGTGCATTATAGTTTGCATTGCAGAGGCATATCGAAGCTCCAATGAGAGAAAGTTCACTCTTTTGAAGTTATAAAGCCCTAAATACATACGATCTTCGAAACTTGTAGTAATAGACAGTGTTTACGACTGAAGAGAAATAGAAATGATCGAACTGAATATTTCCATAAAAAGTATAAATTACATCAACATTATAATTTTAGAATTGGATGGTATTTTATATGAATTTATTGAAATGTAAAATTAAATGTTAAGCCTATGAGAATTCTATTTTAAATAATGTAGGTCTATAAATATTATTGCAAATTATTTATAAATCGAGTATTTAGTCCATACGTTACAATAAAATGTATAGATTACAGTTACAGTCTTTCAGTGAATTTTCAAATATTTTTGTGATTCTTTTATAAATTTTAGCCATTTAAGAACGAATGATGAGGAAATTTTAATAAATAATTAGCATGTTAAGATTAGCATGTAATATAGTATGTTAAATGAAAACGTATTATAAATTTTCATATTTATGAATAACGATTTAATGATTGTCTAATTGCATATATACTTTTTTCTTCTTCGATATATATTTGTGCTCGACTTGGAAAATAAAGTAGATGAAAATAAAAGAAAATGAGCTGACGTTATTCGAAACAGCCGGGCGAGAATTCTCTTAGTTACTTAGTTACAAACTTTGCGATCTAAGTAACTCAAATCGGGGCATTTATTCCTCTCTGCCCTTTCTCAAGTTTTATACTCCATGGAGTTGTGAATTTCTAAAGTATCAGACGTATACATTTAGAAAATAAATACAGTAGTAAAACAGATATAAGTTCAGACATTATGAATTCGAGAATGAAATAGGTATTTAGTTTAAGACAAATACTAGCTTTAATCATTTTCAATAATATTACATTTGCATCTTAATATTCTGTTTAATAAAGTCTGTATGTTGAAATTATATATTATATTGGCGAATATAATATTTATTGAATTCATAGATAATCAAATATTTTCTTTTTATTAAATATTTTGATAAATGCATATAAACGGAATTGTTTTTAATCTCAATTATTATTATTATTATTATTATTTATTATTATTATTATTATTATTATTATTATTATTATTATTATTTATTTTTTTTTTTTTTAAATTTTTTTTTTATATTAATTTTACAATATTTGTTTAAAAAATTTTAGTTTATAAAATATTTTCATTAGACTATGAGATTACATCGTAAAAACAAATAAGGAAATCCGAGTTATTCTATATTTGTCTAGAAATATTCTATTTATTTAAATTAAAAAAATTCATATTAACCGGCAACTGTTATATTAAATGTAACGTGCGTAATATGTAACTTGTTTATATGCAAAAGTAGTATATTATTGTGGGATTCGATGAGAAAAAGTAAGTGTAGGAATAAGAAAATGTATACACATTAATTACTCTTTATTTCTTATTTTTTATTTTTTATTTTTTATTTTTTATTTTATCTTAAGTTAATACAAAAATTTCACCTGCTCTGTCTATCTAATACGATAATAATTTTGCTATCATTTCCTATAATTAGTACTATCAAATAAATATCTTCGAGATTACAAATTAGTGATAAATATTGATGTAGAGAAGCTTGACAAACAATTTGTTTTTCATGGAATCTTATATATTTTCGAAAATTTTTCATATCAAGACAAATACTGGTATTTATTTAATACACGTTTCAATGGATCTTAAACTACTAAGGGGAAATGTATGTCTAGTAATTTGTTTTATAGAAGAAAACGAAGTTGAAAACGAAGACAAAGTAGACGTAGATAATTCTCAAGCTCAAGTGAATAAGGTAGTATAAGAGAAATATACCGATTGATTGACCTTATCATCTGGTATAATTAGCAAAATTCATAGATTTTCATAAATATATTATTGTTTAATTAAAGAGAAAAGGCATATCAATATATTTGTGATGTGCAAAATTTTTATTTATTGTATTAAATTGTGTAATTAAACGATCTTCCATTTGAGAATACAAATTACATATTAAATACGGATATAATTGATAATATTCATCCGAGTTCTTACTGAAAGTATTAATTTTTAATTGACACGGTTGACTTTGTATAATTACGCTTTGAATTTATTACTTTTCGGTATTAAAGCACTGCATGGATTAGCCGGAATAACAACATTACTGACATCTATAAGCTAGCTATATTTTATTTTCTGTTTATTCTGGAAGTCATGGTAAGCAACTGATATATACTGCCGTAATGTAATCCTTTCATCATGCATTACGAATGATAAATAACAACATTAAGAATTTATTTGGGAATTACCATTTATATTGTAACAAGTGCATTGAATATGCTGCTCATAATGTAAAGATGAAAATGTACGTCGAGGTGAGGGAGATTACAAAGGTCGAATAAAGAATTTGATTTAAAAAAGAATGAAAGAAGGATGGAAGGAAGGAAGGAAGGAAGGAATGGAAGAGAGAAAGAAAGACAAGAAAAGATAAGCAACGGCTGGGAGAGCAAATGAATGAAAAAAAAAAAAAACAATGATACGTACCTCACTAGCGAATAAAAAGTATCGCAAGTGCTAGAGATGAGTGATACGGAGAAGAGGATAGGGATGTAGTATTGGCTCGATTAAATATCGATTCATTCGCCCAATGGTTTTTCGTATGCCACTCGCTCGTTCTCCTCCTTGCTAAGAAGAAGCATTGCTCGCGTGCCTTCGCTTTAGTACTTATTTTTTCCGATGCATGTCTCGCAGGAGGCGCTCCTTGAAATCACATTATCGAATCGAGTCGCTCATGTAAAATCCGCGATTTATTGCAACGTAACGATTCGCTTTCAGCTGCGTATCCATTAGAATGGCATGGACATTATCATGGATATTGTAATAAAAAGTAGGAGAATCGATTTCTTTATACAGGACCTAAGCGTACATTTTAGTATGCAGTAGCGTAATTTATACGCGTATAAATTTCTATTATTTTGATAAAATACGAATAATGTTTTGGGACATATGCAATAATTTGCATTTGAGCATTTCAAAAGAATCGGGAATTTTTTATGCTTATTCTGATGCTTGTAAGGACATTTGTTCAATAATGCAATTTTTCCAGTTGAATTTTACGAGCTTAACTTTAGGAACTTAATTTTAGGAATTTCAAACTTAATTATCCGAAATAATTAATACTTGATTTTGATTAAAAGAAAAAAGAAAAAAACAAAAACAAAAAAATAAAAATTCTGCCTCGTTTATTTAGAAATCTTGTATGCGAATTTCTGATTTTGAAGTTAAGTAACCTTTTGTCATCACGATTTCATTATATTTGCTATTATAAGTGTATTATTGAAATTATCAAATATCTCGCGAATTAATATGTCAAAGTGAGTTAATACCTTTTATATACTAAATGTAAGGGTCGTTGTGCATTATTGCGCAAATCATCGGGGACTCAATAACAAGAACAAGAAAAATATAACGACCGTACAAGAGCATATTGTATCAAGGAAATGATTGCAAATATAATGGAAATCAAATGTATCATCGACGTATTCATCGAAAATCCTCTTCCGTACAATTAATTAGCACGAGATATAGAGGCTCGACAAGCGTCTTTACAATTGCATGATCCGTATTGGCAATTGACGAACCTACAC